GGGGGAGGAAAGGGGGCATTATGATTAGCATGTATAATGTGGGAGGGGGGCACAGGGAGGGATGTGCAACACAGAGAAGACAAGTAGTGATTCTACAGCATCTTACTACACTGATGGACAGTGACTGTAATGGGGTATGTGGGGGGTAAACATAATGTTCTTCATGTAATTGTAGATTAATGATACCAAAATATATATATGCTGCCTCATACCTATATCCCACCAACATTTCAGGACTAATATTACCAATATTCCCTTTCCCTACCCAAACCCAGTGCCATATTCAAGTGAGATTCATTGTGAACGCGGGAAAATCAGTGGTGTTTATATAACTGTTTAAGTCTCTGCCTGGGTTGGGATGGCACAACCCTTTCAGTTCCTATTGACAGGCTGGCAGATTAAAATAAAAACTGGCCTTGAATTTGTGTTTTCCTTCTTTGCTTTACTTCCCGTTCTCAATTAAGTATTTTGGGACAACCCAATACTAGTGCCTAGTGTAATACTGAGGCAGACAATAGAGGGAGGCAGGCAGAGTTCAGAGCCCCTATAAATTTCAATGCCCTTGTAGGTTTCAAGGAGCTTCAGGGCCTTTGTAGATTTCAAGAAGCTTCAGGGTCCTTGGAAGTTTCAAGGCCCTTGTAAATTCCAAAAAAAAAAAACTCCAATCCAACTAAGCGATTCAAAAGAACAGTTAGACCTCAGCTCTGATTGTTCATGCCCTATGTAAATGAGGCATTGTACTTTTAGCCAGTCAGGAGCGGGTTGTGATGGCACCAGTTCAGTTCTCTATTTGGCCTGGGGAGGGCGGGACTTCCTAAGAGGCAATATAAACAACAGCCCCCGCCCCACCCCAAAAGCCCTGATGGCATCCACCCTTGGAGCCCCTCCTGAGTAGCAGGATCTTTCTCTTCTCCCTCATTAAAAGAGCTTTGCCTGTTGCTCCATACTCTTGTCTGCTGGCTTCATTCTTCCTTGCCTCCAAGACACTACACTATCCTGGGAAAAACAGCAGTGTTCTCAGCCAGTAACTATACTAGCAGCTATGGCCCAGAAGATACAACTGATCAGATTTTTACTATGTACTAGGTACTGGGTTATGAACTGGTATTATGAACATGTATTATCTATTTTAATTCTCACAACACTTTAACAATGATATTACAATGATGTCAATATCGTGGATGAGAAGACTAATTCTTAAAGAGATTAAGTAACCTACTCAAAGTCCTACACAGCAGCAAGTAGAAATGCCAAGATTTAAATCCAGTACTGAATGACTCCAAAGTCTGTGCTCTTAGCAGTAAGCTGCTTACAGTCTATCTGGGAGATAAAAAATTCACACATGAAATCATTAGAAAACACTGTTGTTAAAATACCAAAATGCAGCTCCTTAGGTCACAAATTATGGTGTTTCTCTGAGACCTGACCAAGACTCCTTTTTCTGAACCTTGAGAAACATTCAAAAAGAAAGGGCTTGAGCTCTATAACAAAATAAAAGCTTACAAGAGCTCTGAGTTGTATATAATCAATAAATTCAAAGCTTGAATGTGTAGAGGGGCAGACAAGAGAACTCATGGGGAAAAGCCTACAGTGCTAGTAAGTATATCTGAATATCTCTCAAATACCTTACAGTTTGCAGAGCACTTTCACATAAACATGTCACATCATCTTCACAACAACCCTGTGAAATACAGATTATCTCTATTTCACAAGTGAGGACAAAGCCTAGTTTGCCCCACAGCCAGGAGTCATGTTGCAAAGTTGTCAGTGTGCCAACTCAGACCTAGATCGTCGCCTCCAGCTCTCACATTTTCTGCTATGCCTCACTGCCACTCATGACTCAAGCAGCCCAGAGTCCAGTCTGACTGCTTTTCCCAGGAGCTTTCCTACCTGGCCCCTTTGTGTTCCATGTACCCTGATGGAGTGCCTTTTATCAGTCTAACTGGTGGTCTCCTTTACCAACTGCCATGGAAACTTCTAACAGCCACATTCCATCCATTCAACCCTTCTGCCTTTATAAAATCAGGGGTTCCCTGGTTCTGGGGACAAAGAACTGGACATACTCATGGAGCCTCAACCTCCTAAATTTCATGATTATCCTTTGTCTCTTGCAGCAACTTTTGCACCCTACACCAAGGAAAGCTGGTCATTGGGTATAACTTTCTAATGATGTTTTGAAATTTCAAGTGGGAGAAATATTGAGATTTCTGGACCTTTGCTTCTGAATGCCTTGCTATCTTTTCTCTTTCCCTAAGTTCCTTCGTGACAGATAGTCTAATCTTGCAGTTAATAAATATTTACTGAGCTCCTTTTAGGTGCCAAGGATTGTTCTAGCTCTGGAAAAATAGCTTTGAAAAACACTCTCGTGCCTACTCTCGTGAAACTTGCATTCTAGTAGGGAGAGTCAGATTACTTAAGTAAATAGCATGCCAGATGGTAATGGACATTGTAATGAAAAAGTTAAGGGGTTAGAAAATGACTGACAGAATGGGGCCCATTTTCAAAAGGTTGGCCAGGAAAAGCACTTTAATGAGATGCTGAATACAATGAGGGAATTAGCAAAAGTTCATTGGCTCTCCAGGGGAAAAGCCTTCCAGGCACAGAGAACATAGTACTGAGGAGCCTGAGGTTAATGTGAACATAGGGCCTTCAAGGAGCCAGTGTGAACAAGCGGAAGGTGGTAGTAGAAGTAAGGTCCAAGAGCAAGGCAGGGACCAGGTTCTGTAGTTCTCTGACGGCCCGAGGAGATTGTCGCTGTTCAGGCATGCAACCTTATTCAAACAAATAAGCTGGGCCAGGATGGCTGGATGCTGAAATACAAAGGTGAATAAGACAAAGCCCTAATTGTCAAGAAGCTTAGAGCCTGATGAAAAATAGAGACAAGTAAGCAGGCAAATACCACAGTGCAGTAAGTCATATGATCAGGATAAACACAAAATACTGTGGTCACGTATGGGAGGGCACCCCGTGCAGACTGGGGATGCCAGAGAAAGTGCAGTCCGAAACCATGCTGTCCAATAGGGTGGCCACCAGCCACGTGGGTTCCATAGCACTTGAAACGTCATTAGAATGACTGAGAAACTGAATTTTAATTTAACTTATTTAAATGAATTTTAAAGTATGAAATACTTTTCATTAAAAATAACTTTATTGTTTTGGTAAGACTGCCTTCCACGTTTGCCATTGCATCACATAAGATACTGTTGTGCCATAGGTCTTATGTACTTCTCACCACTGAAGATGTGTCTACCAGGAAATTTATAATTAAATAAACATGTGGCTCATCTAGTATTTCTGTTGGGTAGCACTAATCTAAACTGAAAGTGGAAAAGCTGAATCAGGGCCAAGTAGAAGGAGATGCCTCGGGTAGAGGAACCTACGCGTGCCAAAGCCCATATGGTACACGTAACTTGGCACCTTTGAGGGATTACAGGTAACTTAATATGATGAGGCCTGAAATGCTGTGAGGAGTGGGGAGACAGGAAAGGTAAACAGCAGCAGATCCTGAGGACTTTATATACCACAGAATCTGAGCTTTATCTTGAGTATAATGGGGAGCTACTGAGGGATTCAAGCCCGAGAGCTGCACGATCAGCTTGGAACTGTTGGAAAGGTCACTTCAGCTATTGTGTGAAGGATGAATTGAAAGGGTCAAGAACAGAAGGAGGAAGACCAGTCAGTGCTGGTTGAAATAATCAGGTGGGTGACCAAGGCACAGACAGTGGAGGTGATGAGAGAAGTGGGCTAATGTGAGACACAAGAGAGGTCAAGATTGGCTAGAATTTCAGTTGAGCAGCTACAAGGAGCAAATGGCTACTTCACTCCAAAGAACATCCAGGCAAATGACTGAGCTCCCAAGAGGACACAGGGTGGGAGGCTTACCCACCCGACGGTGCTTCCCCTCTCAGTTAAGATTATGAGTAATACTTGGTGGGAAGAAAAGTCTCCTGGGATCACACTTGGGGCATCTTATTTTGTCTTTAATTAATATGATTTATGGAAGTCATTGTACTCCAGGCTGCCAGGCACACAGCTCCAGTATTTTCATTTTGCTTGATCAAAAGATGGCTGAGTGACAAGATTATACCTCTCAAAATAGTCTCAGGGAAAGAGAAGTGTATACGAGGTGCTCCCTCCCCTCCAGTGGCAAACAGGGAAAGGAAGTAATATTAAATATAGCAGAGAGCCACACCCTACTTCAGCAGCCCAGGGGCATACACAGGTTTTATGGGGCCCAAAATTTATATAGTGTTTTTAGGAGTTGGAGTGGTCTCTTTAGGAAAAAGAATATTAAAAAGTGACTTCGAAATTGCTAGGTAGGTCCTCATGTAAATAAGGGTCCCTATGCTTAATTTCCTTTGCTTCTTGGTGCAGCTGCTTAAGTACCAGCAGCTTTAGGAGGTCATTTGGTTCATTCATCAAATATCTAATAGGTTATGAGCACTGAGCAGGGTGCAAATGATACAAACATGAGCTGAAATGAGTTAAAACTATATGAAGTGAGTTGAAACTCAGCCCTACCCTCAAGAAAACCACCATTTAGTGAGGAGATAGGTAAACAGGTCATCTAGAACTATGTCAGGAATGCGAGGATAAGGGCTCTATCTGCAGGGCACTAGGATGCAAGAAGAGGGGCAGCTGACTTGCCTGAGGGAAGGCTGGTTTGGGTGCCTCCCTGGGGCTTGTGGGTAGTATTTTGTGTCACAGAAAGCTGCAAAATTTGTTATAACTGAAAGTAGAAGATTGCCTTGAATAGCAATCCACTTCCTGAAAGTCTCATCACTGCCAAGATGAATGACTTACTAATGACTTGAGATCCTCCCCAGGGTAAAAACTCAACTCTGCCCTGGACTGAAAAATGACCTCTCAAAATTCCTATGTTGAATCCCTAACCTCCCCCTTTCCTCACCACTGTGACTGTATTTAGAGACAGGTTCTTTAAGAAAGTAATTAAGGTTAAATGAGGTCATAAGGGTGGGGCTCTCATCCTATAGGACGGACGTCCTTGTAAGGAGAAGAAGAAACAACAGAGGTAGAGATAGATCTCTGTACCTCTCTCCCTCCCTCCATGCCTGGCAAGCCAGGAAGAGAGGCCTCAGCAGAAACCAAACTTCCCAGCACTTGTTCTTGGCCATATAGCCTCCAGAACTAGGAGAAAATTAGTTTCCGTTGGTTAAGTTGCCCAGTCTGTGGTACTTAGTTATGGCAGCCTGAGCAGACAGGACAAAGACCTAGAGAAATGCAATCGTTTCCTAGCCTGGACCCTGGGCAGAAGAGCCAGGAGCTGTGGGGTTTGCTATGCCTCCATCTGTATTTCCAGGGGAAATGCAAGAACGATGGTTGGTGCTCCCTCATCCTCTTGGGCCCTACTCCTTCTTCCTGACACCTTAGCTCCTCTAGACTACTCTGAGTCATCCCCTAAGGGACATGTTCACAACTAATACAAGAGTCCTGCTCATGAATTAAGGAGGGAACCTAGTATTGCTGAACGAGTCCTGGTAATACTTAGAAATAGCCCAGGTTGGCCACTGTCCTAGGTTCAAGGCCCCAGGCAAGTTAAGTCCTCTTCCTGAACTGTAAAATGAGGGGAATGGGCTAAATCATCCCTAAGTTCCCTTCTGCTTTAGTGTTTCTAAGATTCTAAGCTGTTATCTTTCTGGAGTTCACTTTCAAGGGCCTCTGAAGACTTAAATGTCTCCAGGTCCCCCAGGAAGGAATCATTCTCTAAGATGGGCAGGAACTTCTGGCCAGGAGGCCTTCCCAGCAGTCTTCGTATCACCTTTGGGTGCACAGGTGACTGAACTACCTTCTCAGAAGCCTCAGAGTCCACTGCTGTTTAGCACTTTTGAAGACACAAATGCATTTGTGGAAAGTGGGGATTCAGAGATCTCCCTGGAAGGTTCTAATTAACAAGAAATATTAAAAAGTCTTGCCCAGTTAGAGGAGGAGGCTCTGTGGTATTCCTTCCACAAAGAAAGAAAAAAGATAGCATAAAATGTCAGGGAGGAAACTGCTTAGTGCTGTGTTGTGAGTGTATGGTACAGGGAAGCTGCTTAATTTACAAGAGGACATGAAAACATTTGCACCTGAACTTCATTTTGGCAAGAGAGCTCAAATGCTCTGTGACCAACAATGGCCAGAACCCAGATCTCACTGCCATGCCAGCATTCCAGCTAGTCAATGTGGCACCCCCTCCCAGAGCAGGCTCTGAAGCCAAGGGCCTCTGAAGCCACACTGAGGTAGGAGCCTCTTGTTCTTCACTTAGAGCCCTACAGTCTGTGCACCATAGATTATATATACATTGAAACTATATTGAAATCAAAAGGCACTTCAAGGTCAAATCAAGGCCTAATGAGGTAGTTCACTTGTTGGACACTTACCAAAATGACTTTGAATTGTGAATTTTTTCCTGTGCATCTGAATCCCTGATTGTAAACTCTGAATGAATTACTGTTACTTTTGTGTTTCCTCCTTGGTGCTTAGTTTGTTTGTTGCTAACTGATGTTTTCTGATACCACTTCTGACACCAAAATGTGGGAGTTTTCTACACCAATGTTACAATTCTCTGATGCCAACTGGATATTCAGCAATTCAGTTCAGTTCTGACACTAACTCTGAGCTAGTGTCAGAACCCCCAGGTTAAGGGTATAGTCCCACAAGTCTGCCTCCAATTCAGACATCAGCCATAAATAGGGTGCCCAGGCCACCCACACTTCTGCTTAGCTAATGACAAATTTGAGGGTCCCCACAACACCCCTCAAGTTGTATAATTAAATAGAAAGACTCATAAAATTCAAGAAGCACTTGGCTTACTTTTACCAGCTTATTATAACAGATGTAACTCAGGAATGGCCACGTGGAAGAGATGCACAGGCAAGGGATAGGGCCTGGGGGTAGGAAGTGTAAGGCATTCTATGTCCTCTCCAGGTGCATCACCCTCTCAGCACATCCATGTGTTCACCCACCTGGAAACTCTCTGGGTCCCATTGTTCAAGAGTTTTTATAATACATTTCCACCCTCATCCCCTCCCTGGAGGTCAGAAAATGGGGCTGAAAGTTTGGTGTTTCTGATCACCAACTTCCATCCTGAAGGTAGGGGTCCACCCTGACTTGCTTCACTAGCAAAACCCATATGTGGCTGAAAAGGGGGCTCTTTTTGAAAAATAAAAGATGCTCCTATCACCAAGCAAATTTCAAGAGATTTAGGAGCTCTATGCCAAGAACCTAAAACAAAAACTGAATTTTTTTTGTCATACCACAGTTGTATGTAGTAGGTTCTCAGTTAAATATGTACCAGTTAGTTCTTTGACTAACTTGGAACACAAGAAGCATACTTAGGGACTAACTATGGCTAAGGAATCCCTTCTTTTGCAATCAGAAAGATTAGGGGAGACACTTGTTTTTGTGACAGGTCATTATGCTAGGAGATTTCATGGCCCAAATTCCATTCAAGATGAGGACCTTGAATTTCATGTGAGAATAGATAAAATAGCACACACGGGACCATTTTTGTTGTTAAAAAGCTAAATTTCTTGGGGGGGCAGAGCCAAGATGGCGGCATGAGTAGAGCAGCAGAAATCTCCTCCCAAAACTACATATATCTATGAAAATATAACAAAGACAACTCTTCCTAAAATAGAGACCAGAGGACACAGGACGACATCCAGACCACATCCACACCTGTGAGAACCCAGCACCTCACAAAGGGGGAGAGGAAAGCCACAAACCAACAAGAAGGAAAGCTCTTCCAGCCGTCACTCGTACCAGCTCTGCAAACTATATCTATCACCATGAAAAGGCAAAACTACAGGCAGACAAAGATTACAGAGTCAACACCTGAGAAGGAGACAGACCTAACCAGTCTTCCTGAAAAAGAATTCAAAATAAAAATCATGAACATGCTGATGGAGATGCAGAGAAAAATGCAAGAGCAATGGGAT